AGGAAGTAAAAAAAAACCTGAACTGCGTTAATTGCGTTAATTTTTTAAACGCGTTAATTAGTTAAAATTAATCGCATGCGTTAACGCATTAATTTTGACGGCGCTAATATATATATATATATATATATATATATATATATATATATGTGTGTGTGTGTGTTTGTGTGTGTGTGTATATATATATATGTATGTATGTATGTATGTATGTAATATATATATATATATATATATATATATATATATGTGTGTGTGTGTGTGTTTGTGTGTGTGTGTATATATATATATATGTATGTATGTATGTATGTAATATATATATATATATATATATATATATATATATATATAGAAACCCACCCATGATCTGCTGTGGTTGATATCAAGAACACCTGATTTCTCACTCAGTGATATTAGTCTGAAACTGACAGCCGCGCTGGGTAATGATCCAAACGCTTAATAATCCCATCAAACCCAGTCCAACAGGAACCCTGAGTCAATGTTTGAGCAGTTCTTTGTGTAATGTTTGCAAACGCTCAGCAACAAGGATGACCTTGCTTGCTTGCATATTTACAAATTATTAAGCATATTATACATTTTTTTCTCTTGTGCTATTCCTACAGCTTGAAGTTTGTCTTCATTCAGTGAGGAAGCCGGTTTATCGTGAGCTGTTTTTCTCCAGCGGAGGCTTTTGTTATATTTAAATGCACACAACACAATGTGCTGCTATTTAAAGCACACAGATCTTTTCCTGTGTTTCAGAAGACGTTTGCATTGAACCCCACAGCTTAACTCTGTTGATTATTTCTGAACGGAAGGATGGATTTCAGCAGCTCGGAGTGATTATAACAATAACCTGTAGTCCTGTAGTGTTGTCGGAAACACTGGTTTATGGCTCATATACTAAAGGATAATAATACAGCCACTTAAGTATATACTTACCCTTAGGGTTCAGAGTTTGTATTTACAGTATTTGTTATGATTCATTTGTTAAAGCAGCAGTTTATCCAAAGATGCTGTAAGTTTGCAGTTGATTTGTTGCTGTTTATTAGGCCATCATTTTACTTCAATATAAACAGTAAAGATGATTTTTGGTTTAAAAATAAAAGAAAAAGTGATTATTCATGAAAAGAAAGTCAAGTAAAATATCATTAAAACAGTTACCAATCAAAACATGTTCAAGAGCAGGAACATCCCATGTACAGTGCATCTGGAAAGTATTCATAGCTTCACTTTTCCCACATTTTTATGTTACAGCCTTATTCCAAAATGGATTAAACTCTATTTTAAACTATGTCTTCAACATTTTACACACAATACCCCAAAATGACAATGTAGAAAAAAGATTTCTTGAAATTGTTGCAAATTTATTAAAAATAAAAAAGCTGAAAAATCACATGCACATCAGTATTCACAGCCTTCACAGCCTTTCTAAATTGAGCTCATGTATTTTCTGTTTCCACTGATCATTCTTGAGATGTTTCAGCAGTCTAATTAGAGTTCACCTGTGGTCAATTCAGTTGATTGGACAGGATCTGAAAAGGCATACACCTGTCTATATAAGCTCCCAGGGTTGACAGTGCATGTCAAAGCACAAACCAAGCATGAAGACAAAGGAACTGTCTGTAGACCAGCTGTCAAGATGGGCTTACAAAAATACAAGATAAAAGTGCAGCAATTTAAGTTTTTATAAAATATAATGGGAGAGGCCAGGTACAAAAGTCCAACAGAGACGAAAAAACAAAAAACAAAATACAAAACAAATAAACAAAAGTGAATCAAACAATGTTTGAACATGAATTTAAAAACATAAACATAACATGAAACAAAGTGAAGAAACAAACAAACCAAAACGGTGAGTCAGTGAACAGACTAGGACCAGGGGTCCGTTTTTTGTAGGTGGATTACTCAGTTAGCTGGATTTGGATATTGACGATTTGACACGATCCAGAATCGTTTAGTTCTTCAAAACACATCTAAGAGTTGTTGTCATAGCAACAGTTCCAGTGGCTCAAACCTGGTCGGGAGCAGGGTTATTTGTATAAACAGGATTAGATCGGGTCATTTCAAGCTAAGATAATACTGATAATATGTACCAAATGCTGATGTTTTCTTACAGTAGTAGTTATATACACTTGGGAAAATAGTAAATATACATTTTTAAACTATATATATATATATATATATATATATATATACTGTATAAGTAAAAGTAAAATAAGTTAAAAAAATACATATTAATAAAACGTATGCAATCTGCACTCCGAAATAAAAGTAAGACATCTGGTAGTTCAAAGAGAAAATTTATTGATATGAGCTTTTTAGATACAAATGCGTACATGCACAATATTTAAATCTTTTAAAAAAGAATAATAATTCATGCAGTCATGCACATGTTTTGACCGATAATATGCCGGTGATTTGATGCTACGCAAAAGTTGCAGACACCTTTACCGATATAAAAAGCTTTTTTGCCGCAAAAATAATTGATACAGTTATTCCTTACGCCAATTAAAAAAAAAAACTTGAGTAGGCCTAGGCTACTATAATAAAGAAAATCTTCTCTAAATGTAGAACTAAATGCATAGAAATACATGATTAGAATACTCTCGACACATGAAAGTGTAAAGCCTGCAGCTCACAACAAATGTGGAAAGTAATTTGCGCATCATATTTAACAAACCGTTTACTGCTAATTTCATGTAATTTTGCTCACTTGGATAGATGAATATTAGTCAGATGATGTCATTATGCTGCTGTGCCGTCAGCCAATCGTTGCATGAGTTATCGGGGGAAGAAGTGCCTTATCAGTCAGAGAGGTGATCAATAATCCAATGGTCACTCTGTCTGAGTTCTTTCGTGGAGAGAGGAGAACCTTACAGAAGGACAACCATCTGTGCAGCAATCCACCAATCAGGCCTGTATGGTATAGTGGCCAGATGGAAGCCGCTCCCCGCCTGGAATTCCTAAAAAAATGTAGGCTGAAGCGTGTTTCCTGGTTATGTAAGTCAGGTTTTCAGGCAGTTTTCTGAGTGTAGCCTCAGATCATTTCAACATTGGTGTGTGAATTGTGTAACTAATCTAAAAGTTTGTAGTCGGACACTTCCTGCAGGACGTGTGGTTTCTTATCTGCGCTCGCGGCTCTCATTACAGTGGCAGTTTTCAATTACAGAAGCGCAGATAAAAGTGAAATTCAGGCCCTTCAGAGAGCACTTTATCTCTTATTCTTTACACTTTAGAGCCAGTAATGTGGATTTAACTGTCTTTTAATTTTCTCATGTTAGCAATTTCACCAATTAAGATCGAAGCCGCAGATTACGCTTCACATTAATTAAGACTTGTCGTTTAATTCATTTAAATAAACGTGTGGTGTGGATTTAAAGGCACAGTTCATCTAAAATGGAAAAATTGGTCATCATTTGCTAAGCTTCTTCTGTTGAGCACAAAAGAAGATATTTTGAAGAATGTTGGAAGCCATTGACTTCTGTAGTGTCTGTTTTTCCTACATTTTTGTGCTATTATATTCCAATAGGTGCATATTTATTGGAATGACGCCGTATTTGCATAAATAAACTACATTTTAGACACTTATGGGCAAGAATTGTTTTGAAATTAGTGCACATTTAATGAAATAAAGCCTCATTTGCATAATTAAACTACATTTGAGAATTTTTTGTGCTAGAAGTGTATGCAAAACTAGCACATATTTAATGAAATATTATCTCATTTGCATAATTAAACTACATTTTAAACATTTTTGTGCTAAAAGTGTATGCAAAACTAGCACATATTTAATAAAACAATGCCTCATTTGCATAATTAAACTATATTTTGGACATTATTTGTGCTAGAATTGTAGGCAAACTAGCATGTATTTAATGAAATAATGTCTCATTTGCATAATAAAACTACATTTTAGACATTTTTATGCTAAAAGTATATGCAAAACTAGCACATATTGAATGAAATATTGTCTCATTTGCATAATTAAACTAAATTTTAGACATTTTTGTGCTAAAAGTGTATGCAAAACTAGCACATATTTAATGAAATATTGTCTCATTTGCATAATTAAACTACATTTTAGACATTTTTGTGCTAAAAGTGTATGCAAAACTAGCACATATTTAATAAAACAATGCCTCATTTGCATAATTAAACTATATTTTGGACATTATTTGTGCTAGAATTGTATGCAGACTAGCATGTATTTAATGAAATAATGCCTCATTTGCATAATTAAACTATGTTTTAGACTTTTTTGTGCTCTAAGTGTATGCAAACTAACTCGTATTTACTTAAATAAAGCCTCATTTCCACAATTAAATCACATTTTAGACATTTTTGTGCAAGAAATGTATGCAAATTAGCACATATTTAATAAAATAATGTTCAATCGTGTAATTTAACTATATTTCGCTAATTTTTGTGCAAGTAATCAATGCAAATTAGCACATATTTAAGAAAATAATGCCTCATTTCCACAAACTACATTTTTAACATTTTGTACAAGAAATGTATTCAAAGTAGTGCATGTTTAATAAAAAAAAATCCTCATTTGCATAACCTACATTTTAGACTTTTTTGTGATAGGAATGTATGCAAATTACCTCATATTTAATGGAGTAATGTCTTATTTCCACAATTAAACCACATTTTAGACATGTTTGTGCTAGAATTGTATGCAAATTAGTTTTAGGTTGCGGCTGGAAGGGCATCCGCTGCGTAAAAACTTGCTGGATAAGTTGGCGGTTCATTCCGGTGTGGCGACCCCGGATTAATAAAGGCACTAAGCCGAGAAGAAAATGAATGAATGAATGAATGAATAAATGATGCCTTATTTGCATGTTAAATAATAATGTTTTAGACATTTTTTTTTGCAAGAATTGTTAGCAAACCTGGAAGTATTATTGAATTAGTGCATCATCTGCTTTATTAAACTACGTTTACCCTGTTTACTATGCCCTGTTTTGCATTGACGTCTCCATTTTGGCTCTGTGTAACAGGTGATGGAGGTCTGCGGTGCGAAGCGGCTTGGCTTCTTCGGCTGTGGTCAGTTTTATGCGGCTCTGAAGCTGTTGGCTGCGGCTCAGGCTGGTCTGCCGGTGCGTCTGGAGAGCATTGCAGGCGGTGAGTCCTCTATTCTCAACTAAACGGGATCAGGGATTTACTATTGCATGCTTGGCTTTCCGCTGAGGAGGGATAACTGTGATGTCGTGCTGAGCGGAGAAAGCGCCGTACGCTGAGCTCAACTGGCTGAGATTGAGCCTGTGTGTGAACTCAACCACAGGACGACTTCCTTATACGCTATTATTGTTTATTTCATCTGCATTTACACACAGTGAGGAGCTCATTTTTCTTCTGATGTTACTCAGGGTTCAATCTATCAATTGTGAAGCAGTTATGCTTTTTGAAATCTTTGGTTTATATTGTGTAATATAGAATCCAACACTGGAATAAAATTGAAATAACCGTACTTGTAACGGTTTGGAGCCCTTTTTGTCTTCAGAACTGCCTTAATCCGTCATGGCATAGATTCAACAAGGTATTGAATCTATGAATTGGTATTGAATCCATGTTGACATGATAGGATCATGCAGTTGCTGCAGATTTGTCGGCTGCACATCCATAATGTGAATCTCCTCTGACCTCTGACATCAACAAGACATTTGCACCCACAGAACTGCCGCTCACTGGATATTTTCTCTTTTTCGGACTATTCTCTGTAAACCCTAGAGAAAATCCCAGTAGATCAGCAGTTTCCGAAATACTCAGACCAGCCGATCTGGCACCAACAACCATGCCACGTTCAAAGTCACTTAAATCACCTTTGTGTGTGTGTGTGTTTGTGTGTGTGTATGTTTGTGTGTGTGTGTGTGTGTGTGTATGTTTGTTTGTGTGTGTGTGTGTGTGTGTGTGTGTGTATTTAAGTTGTTGTTTTTTTAATTGTATAAATGCAAAACAATGTGCATATTTTACTATTTAAAAAGCCATATTTTGTTATGAATATTATGAACTGCATCATTGAATGTTGTGGTTCATTTGTAATTTTATTAATATGTAATTGTATAAAATGAAAACAATATGCATTGGTAATATTTGTTTAAAATGTTAAATAATAATAAAAGACATTATTATTATTATTATTATTATTATTATTATTATTAGTAGTAGTAGTAGTAGTAGTATTAATTATAATAACAACAATAATAATAATACAAATGATAATAACTATAATAATAAGAATAATTATAATAACAACAATAATAATAGTAATAATAATAAAAAAATAAATAATAAAAATTATAGTAGTAGTAAAAGTAATAATAGTAATAATAGTAATAATAATAATAATAGTAGTAGTAATAGTAATAATAGTAGTAGTAATAATAATAATAATAATTAGATTATTTAGTGTTGTATTATTATTTTATATTTTTATAAAAAGTAAAAATAATAATAAAATAGTAAAATCGATTATTTAATAAATTATTTACAAATATAATTTAATTAATTATGTTAATAAATAATGTACATATCAAGTTATTTTACCTGTGACCACCTGAATAACTTCACCATGATCACAGCAGTGAGTACTCACCACCAGTTTCTAGTTTCGATAATATTATCTGAAACACTGGTATGCAAAGTTTTGAGCTTGCAAAATAACTCAATATGTTAGCCCAGACAGAAGGAAAACATTCATTCCTTACATGTATTGACTTAAGCAGAGCAGGAGGTGAATTCAGCTGCAGGTTTCTCCCGGATTAGACTGTAATCCTGGTACAGAGTGTTACTGAAAGACCTCGAGACGAGCTCAGATGACCTGATCAGTTGAGATCACTGTGGCTGTGTTTAGCCCACACATGATCCACTGCTTTACTGTGTCCAGACCAGGAGAAACACTGATTTTGTGGACAGTAAAGACTTTATCATGATGACCTTAATGCACCTTTGAGGAATGACTGGCTGGGTTGTGTTTACACTTTAAAGAAGGAGATTATGAGGATCATCAGAGCTTCTCATCCTGAAATCCCAAATACTGTGTGTTACACTCAAGTAGTGTAGATTAAATCAGCAGCAAAATATTAATGGATGAATCTATTGATGGATGGATGGATGGATGGATGGATGGATGGATTGGATGGATGGATGGATGATAAATGGATTGATGGTATATGGACTGATGGAAGAATACAGGAATAGATGGATGAATGGATGGATGGACGGATAGATAGATGGATGGATGGATGGATTAATTGATGGTATATGGACTGATGGATGATTGAAATGATGGATGGATGGATGGATGGATGTATATGGACTGACGGAAGAATACAGGAATAGATAGATGAATGGATGGATGGATAGATAGATGGATGATGGATGGATTAATTGATGGTATATGGACTGATGGATGGATGAAATGATGGATGGATGGATGGATGGATGTATATGGACTGATGGGTGGATGGATAGATGGATGCATGGATGGATGGATGAAATGATGGATGGATGAAAGAATGCATAGATAGATGGTTGGATGCGTGGATAGATGGATGTATGCATAGATTCATGGATGAATGCATAGATGGATGGATGGATGGATAGATGGATTAATGGATGAATGCATAGATGGATGGGTGCATGGATGGAAGAATGCATAGGTGGTTGGATGGATGGATAGATGGATGAATGCATGGATGGATGGATGAATGCATAGATGCATGGATGAATGTATGAATAGATAGGTTGGATGGATGGATAGATGGATGAATGCATGGATGGATGGATGAATGCATAGATGCATGGATGAATGTATGAATAGATAGAAAGTTGGATGTATTGATGGATAAATGCATGGAAGGATGGATGGATGGATGGATGGATGATATATAGATTGATGGTATATGGACTGATGGAAGAATACAGGAATAGATGGATGAATGGATGGATGGATGGATGGTATATGAACTGATGGATAGATGGATGCATGGATGGATGGATGGATGAATGGATGGATTGATGGTATATGGACTGATGCATGGATGGATGGATGGATGGATGCATGGATGGATGGATAAAATGATGGATGGATGGAAGAATGCATAGATAGATGGTTGGATGCGTGGATAGATGGATGTATGCATAGATTCATGGATGAATGTACAGATAGATGGGTGGATGTATTGATGGATGAATGCATAGATGGATGGATGAATGTTTAGATATATGGATGAATATGATGGATGGTAGAATGGGATGGATGGATGGATGGTTGGAAGAATGCATAGATAGATGGTTGGATGCGTGGATAGATGGATGTATGCATAGATTCATGGATGAATGTACAGATAGATGGGTGGATGTATTGATGGATGAATGCATGGATGGATGTATGGATAGATGGATGGATGGATGAATGCATAGATGGATGGATGGATGTATTGATGGATGAATGCATGGATGGATGTATGGATAGATGGATGGTTGGATGAATGCATAGATGGATGGATGAATGTTTAGATATATGGATGAATATGATGGATGGTAGAATGGGATGGATGGATGGTTGGAAGAATGCATAGATCGATAGATGGATGGATGCGTGGATGGATGGATGAATGCATAGATGCATGGATGAATGTATAGATAGATGGGTGGATGTATTGATGGATGGATGAATGCATAGATGGATGGATGGATGGATGGATAGATGGATTAATGGATGAATGCATAGATGGATGGGTGCATGGATGGAAGAATGCATAGGTGGTTGGATGGATGGATAGATGGATGAATGCATGGATGGATGGATGAATGCATAGATGCATGGATGAATGTATGAATAGATAGATAGTTGGATGTATTGGTGGATAAATGCATGGAAGGATGGATGGATGGATGGATGATATATGGATTGATGGTATATGGACTGATGGAAGAATACAGGAATTGATGGATGGTTGGAAGAATGCATAGATAGATGGATGGATGCGTGGATGGATGGATGAATGCATAGATGCATGGATGAATGTATAGATAGATGGGTGAATGTATTGATGGATGGATGGATGAATGCATAAATGGATGGATGCAGGGATGAAAGAATGCATAGGTGGTTGGATGGATGGATAGATAGATGGATGAATGCATGGATGGATGGATGATACATGGATTAATGGTATATGGACTGATGGAAGAATGCATTGATGGATGGATTGGATGCATGGACAAATACATGGATGGATAAATAAATTGATGGATGGATAAATTGATTGTAGATAAATGGATGGATGGATGGATGGATGGATGAAAGAATTTATGGATGGAGGGATGGAGGAATGCATGGGTGGAGTAATGCATCGATTGATGGATAGTATATGGACATTTGGTATATGGACTGATGGATGGGAGAATGCATAGATAAGTATATGGGTGGATGGATTAATGTAAAAAAAGATGGATGCATTGATGGATGAAAGATTGCAAAGATTGATAGATGGGTGGAGGGGTTGATGGATGGATGGATGGATTAATGGATGAATTAATGTATACATTGATGGATAAAAATATGGATAGATGGATGGAAGAATGCATAAATAGGTGGATGGATGAACGAATTAATGTATAAATTAATAATTGTATTGATGGATGAATGCATGGATGAATTGATGAATGTATAAATGGATGGATGAATGTATAGATAAATAGATGAATATGATGAATGGTGGAATAGAAAGGATGGATGAATGAATTAATTGATAGATAGATAGATAGATAGATAGATAGATAGATAGATAGATAGATAGATAGATAGATAGATAGATAGATAGATAGATAGATAGATAGATAGATAGATAGATAGTCTTATTCCTCTGTATTGCTCTAGAAGTGCACTGACTCTGAATTGTTTACTATTGTGCTGTTCTGAATGTGGCATCCTTTATCTTCCCTACAGAACTTCCTCTTCCTGTGTTTGTTGGAATAACAAATGAGCTCGACACGCGTTACGCCAATCACCTCTCGACCAATGAGAGCCAGCCCCACACCCTGGGCTCTGTCCCAGCCTCCGCCCCTCGCCCCCCAACAGACAGAGCTGTGCTCAGACATCCAGACACCAGCATGGATAAACAGGTCAGTTCAGCATCGTTCACATGCATCTGCAGTGTCTTTATTTAACCATCACTGGAAAGACTCTGGATTTCACCTTTTCTACTTATTCTACTTCAGAAAATAATTAAAAAAATAGAAAATGTGTTTAATTTTTATTTTGTTATTTTAGTGCTGTTTATTATCAGATTATTTTATTGTTAATTTGAATGAAATCATTTATTTATTAAAATTCATAATATTGTCAATAATCTATTAATTATGAAGAACTCATTGCATATGCATAATCTGTCAGTTAATATTATTTATGCTGTAAAATGGTTAAGTTTATTATTGTTTATTGTCATACTGTATTTTAAATATTTTACATTACGATGATTTGTTGCATGTATAAAACCCATAATAATTATTTAATAATATTAACAATAATAATAGTAATAATAATGATTATTATTAATAATATTTTATTATTATTATTATTATTATTATTATTATTATTATTATATTATTATTATTTTATTATTATTTTATTATTATTATTATTATTACTTAATTAATCGATTAATAAAGGCACTAAGCCGACAAGAAAATCAATGAATGAATTTAATATGCATTAGAATATATAATAATAATAATTATTATTATAAAAATATTATTTCAAATAAATAAAAGGCTCGATGTAATGTGCATTATGAATATTTTATTATTTCAAAGTATTACGGTTATTTCGGTTCATGTTATTTTATTATTATTTTGAATGACATTATTTGGTGTGGTGGTTTATCTGTCATTTATTAATATTTATTGTATAACATTAAAACGTATAATATACATGTTTTAGTAAAGAAATGTATAATTGTTTATAAAATAATTAATTATTCAATGATAAAAATAATAATAATAATATTATGAATAATAATAACAACATAATAATGGTGGACCAATTGGAGCTGTTTTTAGACCAACCACAACTTGATGTAGGAGTGTGGTCCCCCCGCCCAACCAAATGTTGATTGACAGGCGCATCACCATATCCTCAGTTTGTTGTTTCACGTCCGCCATTTTCAGCGTGTGAGTCAAAGCCATGTTAGTAAAGAAACACCCTTGCTCTATTTTTGGATGTAAGGCTCATTGGGCTCAATACATGATCAACATTCACCACATGATCGTTGTAATCGTAATTATTATTGTTTGTAACTTTAGGTGGGTTTGCAAACATCTGTATTTTTCATTGCGTCTACCTTAAACTTCATTCGTTTGCATTTCTCGTGGTCACAGAAGCTCCCTGTGATCTTAACTAGGTGCAACTGGAAAGTGCGAGCATGCTGCCTTACGTGTGTGTTGCTCGATTGGAAATAAAATAACGAACACACCAAAAGCGACGCTCACAGCCCATTCACACGGGGCGTCAGCTTCAACGCTTCCCAGTCACTTTGAATGGGTGACGTCAGGCGTTGCCGAACTGCATTGTTTATCCATCGGTGACGCTTCAGAGGCGTTGCTCGCTGCAAAAGTTGTGACTTGCTCAACTTTTCAAGCGCCGACGGAAGCGTCAGCCAATTAGATCGCTGTATGCAAATACACCAGCTCAGACAGTGACCTATTGCTAACTAATTTCATTGGCTGACGCTGCTATGATGATCGCGTCAGCCCCAACTTCAGACACGCCCTCTGTCAAGCGTTGACGTTGAACCTCCGCTGAAGTCTGTTGCCAAACACATAGCGAGGGAGCTTTTGGCTCCACCCCCTTGTTACGTTGGACGAGAAGTCGAAACTAATTTTCATGTGAAGCAACACACCCCTAAAACAGCAAGCTGTGCACGCCCCCTAAATGGCACATTTAACACATTATAATTAAAATATCTGAATAATTTTTTTAATTGAAGCTAAACTGGCACACTCAGAAGAACCATAATATTAATATTAAATATTAAAAAAGGGGTAAACTATGTGCTCTTTAATAATAATGATGATGATGATAATAGTGACCATATTTATTTATAATAATATTAATAATAATCATCATCATCATCATCATTATTATAATGAATTTTATTATTATTATTATTGTATTATTATTTATTACATTATTTAATGTTCGATTATTAGTTTAGTGTATTCACTCATTTCTGTGTTTGTACCTGACAGGAGGCGTGGTCCCCACCAAGGTCTCCACCTAGCATCTCTCCGCCCCGCTCACCATCAGCCTATCGCAGCTTGACATACAGTGCACAGAGAAACGGAACAGACACGTTATTGGGTAAGAGCCACTGTCAATCATTTGGAATTCACAATGAAAAATCAGTAAACCACGTTTGGGGCGACACGGTGGCTCAGTGGTTAGCACTGTTGCCTCACAGCAAGAAGGTCGCTGGTTTGAGTCCTGGCTGGGGCATTTGGCAGATCTGTTGTAGATCAAATGTACACTACCTGACAAAAGTCTTGTTGTTGATCCCAGTTATAAGAGCAATAAATAATAACTTGACTTCTAGTTTATCATTTGGAAAAGTAGCAGATTTTTCAGATTAATCATTGGTTGAACTGGATCATAATCATCACAAATACTGCAGAAGACCTATTGGAACCAGCATGGACCCAAGATTCTCACAGAAATCCGTCAAGTTTGCTGAAGGAAAAATCATGGTTTGGGGTTACATTCAGTATGGGGGTGCGTAAGGAGATCTGCAGAGTGCATGGCAACCATAGACTGTAAAATATATGGACGTAGTATCCGTGACGTCACCCATAGGTTTCTGAAGAGCGCAAAATAAGCCACAAGTAGGCGCGGCCAACTGTCGCCATTTTGTTCATGCGTCATCACACCCACGGCGGGATACCAAACAAGGGCAAAGAGGCGGAGAGTGAGCGGAGCTACAGACACCTGCTAGCATTTAGCTTGGACCTGGTTCAGACACACTTTACTTTGGGAGAAATGCTTAATACTTTATCACCTGCGACTCGCTTGTATTCTGACCACTTGTGCTTTGTTGTACACTATATCAATAAAGTGTTTAGACTTTTAAAAACACTGCTGTAACACATTGAGCCACTAAACATTGTTCTTATGACGTTTTTCAACAGAAGGAAAACGCAAATTACATCCAAACACTTCAGATATAGTCTGTGTTAGTTAATGTAAGACTATTGATGAAATCCAGCATAACACTGTATGACAACGCTTCAGATGACGATTCTAGAGCCTACAGCTAATCAATCTGACAGATTCTGCAGTGCATTACAGCTCTAAATATAAATATAAATGATCTTAAATAAAACAAATACATGTATAGAGATGGTATATAAGTATATAACTTTACTCACATGGGAAACGGAGGCAGTGTGAATGGTTTGTGAGCACAATTAAGTGCACTCAGCATGCCATGCCATCTAATAATTGTAGGAAACAAGTCCAAAAGGCAGTTGACAGTGTAAAGCCGCATAAAACAACACAGAAATACGATAAATATGCCGAGTTCAGTGGCTAATCTGCAGGATTCGGCTGAGGTGACGTGACGGCGACCAACGAGACCTAGCTGTCAATCAAGTGGCCACTCCCTTAATTATGCAAACTTAATATAACTTAATATAAAGGAAACGGATGAGTTATAAAAAAAATTCACCCCCCTCACAGTTGTCATGAAGGGTAATATTAGCTGTATTAACCAAAATCTTTTTTTGTACCAGGCTGTAAACACCTTTTTTTCTGCTGTAAAGTTGGCCATTCTAACAGTGGACTCAATTGAAATTAGCTCTGTTTTGGAGCCAGGAGAGGCCAGGACTAGCGGAATTTCGGATGAATTGCAGTTTTAGTTACTTCCGTCTTGGCTTCCTGAGGGAGAGCGGGAGGTTGCCGCTTGATGGCAACATCAACAGCCTGAGGAATCAAGACATTTGTGCTGCCCATTACATTACAAACCACAGGAGAGGGCAAATTCTTCAGCAGGATAGCGCTCCTCATACTTCAGCCTCCACATCAAAGCTCCTGAAAGCAAAGAAGGTCAAGATGCTCCAGGATTGGCCAGCACATTCACCATATAGGAACATTGTTGAGCATGTCTGGGTTAAGATGAAGGAGGAGGCATTGAAGATGAATCCAAAGAGTCTTGATGAACTCTAGGAGTCTTGTAAACGTTTTCTTTGGCATTCCAGATGACTTTATTAATCAGTGATTTGAGTCATTGTATGGATGTATGGATGCAGACCTCCAAGCCCATGATGGAGTCAGACACGATATTAACTCTGTTTCCACTGCAGCATGACTTTGTATTCTATATTGGACATTATTTCTGTTAAGAGACAAGACTTTTGTCTTACAAAGTCAGACCTTACTGTCCTAATTAAATCATTAATAATCAAGGCATGATCATATTTTATTGCGATAAAATAAGCACAATCTATATTCAAGCCACTCATATAAGCCACTTCTGATACCAAATGATCAACTAGAAGTCCAGTTATTATTTGTTGTTGCTAAAACTTGGATAGTGGACAAGACTTTTGTCAGGTAGTGTATTAGATGTACTTTGACTATAAATAATTCAAGTGTTTTTAGCTCATTTTGTATTGGAGTTCTGGATGATCATTTGCATCAGAAAATACTCAAATTGCCTTAAATGCTTCATTGTTTTTTATATTTTTATTTTTTGTTCCTGATAAAGTTATTTTTGCAGCAATGCCAGTGCAAAAGTGAGAGAAAATATTTACACATGCACGCACACACACACACACACATACACATGCACACAGAGACACACACACACACATGCTGTGATGATGTTATTAGGTAACAGAAGCACACAGCCGGCGTGTTTCACACACTGTGACCGCAGACGTGGCTCCATACCCTGATTTTGTCAGACAGCTGTGTGTGTGTGTGCGTGTTCGTGTGCATGTGTGTTTGTTCGTGTATGTGAATGTGTGTTTGCTTGTGTGTGTGTGTGTGTGTGTATATGTCTATGTGTGTATGTCTATGTGTGTGGTTTTGTGTATGTGTGTGTTTTGTGTTTGTGTGTGTATATGTACATGTATGTGTGTATGTGTATGTATGTCTGTGTGTGGTGTGTGGTGTGTGGGTGTCTGTGTATGCCTGTGTCTATGTTTTTGTTTGTGTATATGTGTGTGTGTTTGTATGTGTATATTTGTGTGTACGGATGTGTGTGTGTATGTGTGAGTTTGTGTATTTCTACGCGCGCATGTTTGTAAGTCTGTGTTTACCTTTGTATGTGTGCCTGCGTGCGTGTGCGTGCGTGTGTATATGTGTGTGCGTTTCTGTATGTCATTCTGTGTGTGTGTCTTTGTGTGCGCATGTATGTATTTGTGTGTGTGTTCAGCCTTGAGCTGCCGTCTGCCCTCAGAAAACAGTTGGCTAATTGCTGCTCTCCTGTGGCGGATTGATATCACACTCGTCTAATCACACACACACCTGTCGACTAACAAGGCTTCAGTGCATCCACAGGCAGCAAAACACACACACCAGACCCTCTAATGAAACACACAAACATTGACAGGCAGCACAATACACTCACCAGACGTTCTGATGACACATACACACACACACACACACACACACATCAACAGGCAGCACAACACACTCACTAGACGTTCTGATGAAACACACACACACACACACACACAGACATGCTTTCCTGGGAAAATGCCTTGAGCCTGCATATGCTGTGTAGCCATAGTGGTGTGTTTAATGTAATAACACACTCCTTGTTTTTCCGCGTGGCTCATTACACTCCCGAACAGTTGAGCATGAAGCAGTTTTGAAGCACAATAAACTCTCTTCATTGGTCATTTGCAGTTGACTCTCATTTATATCAAAACTTGCCATAGATGCAAAATCATGCGTTCATTACAGAGTGACTCTAATGCAGATTGTCATGAGGACTTTGTTTTTGCATATACAACAGCGCCCCCTTCAGCACAACATAATGTAGCGCAAGAGGAGACTTGATTTAGTCTCACTGAGTGTATTTTAGTGTTTTAGATAGACATGAATACTATTACAAATATTGGAGATTGATTGATTGATTGATTGATTGATTGATTGATTGATTGATTGATTGATTGATTGATTGATTGATTGATTGATTGATTGATTGATTGATTGATTGATTGATTGAAAGAAGGATGGATAAATGGACAGAAAGATGGATTGACAGATGAATAGACAAATACATAGAAAGGATGAATAGATGAATATAGACATGAATGGATGGATGGATGAAAAGAAAGATGAGAGATAGACAGATGGACAAAAGAAAGATAGATGGATAGATTAATAGTTGGATACATGGATAGATAGAAAGAAGGATGGATGGATGAACAACCAAAGATGCATGAATGGATGAAAAATGAATGGGTGTACGTACAGACGGAAGGAAGAGATAGATAGATAGATAGATAGATAGATAGATAGATAGATAGATAGATAGATAGATAGATAGATAGATAGATAGATAGATAGATAGATAGATAGATAGATAGACAGACAGATAGACAGACAGACAGACGGACGGACTGATGGACAGATAGATGGATGAATGTGGATGAATGGACGAAAGAAAGAAAGATGGATGGATGGATGGATGGATGGATGAATGGATGGATGAATGGATGGATAGAAAGTATGGATGTATGTATTTATGGATGGATGGATGGATGGATGGATGGATGGATGGATGGATGGATAGATGTATGGATAGAAAGAAGGGATGGATGAATGGATGGATGAATTGATAGAAAGATGGAAGGATGGATGGATGGATGGATGGATGGATGGATGGATGGATGGACAGATGGTTGAATGGATGGCCAAAAGAAAGATGGATTTAGGAATAGTTGGATGGATAGAAAGAAAGATGGATAGATGGACAAAGAAAGATGAATAGATGAAAGAAAAAAGGATGTATGGATTGATGGATGGATGGATTAATGGATGGGTTAATGGATGGATTAATGGACAGATGGAAGGATAGTTGGATAGAGCGATGGATAGAAAAATGAATGGGCAAAGAAAGATGGATGGATCGGTAGATGCAAGCATGGAAGGACAATAGAAAGAGGGATGAAAGAAAGAAAGAAAGGAAGAAAGAAAGAAAGAAAGAAAGAAAGAAAGAAAGAAAGAAAGAAAGAAAGAAAGAAAGAAAGAAAGAAAGAAAGAAAGAAAGAAAAAGAAAGAAAGAAAGAAGGGAAGAGAGACAGATGGTCAGATGGATGGACAGATAGAGTTTTTCTTATCGGTATCTCCCACTCATCATCATAATTGAGTGCAGCTCTGCTTTCTTCATCAGTCAGCTGTGATCATTAATACTTAATCATCATCTACACAGAGGAGAACTGATGTGCTGAAAGAGCTTCAGATGTAGAAACATTCACAAGATCAAAAGCCCAATTCTCCAGACTGCAGTCCTATCACAGATCATGATCATCATCATCATGCTGAATAATTCACACCATCATTTAATCACTCACTATTTCATTTATTATTCCAGTAAGTCTTTTTTTTTTTAAGCGTTCTCTATTGTTCTGTTGTCTTTTGTTTCAGTCTCATCTGCTGACAGTGTTTAATGCCGTGTCTGTGCCTTCCGCATCAGTGCTGTCAAAATATTTATATGCCATAATCGATGATCACAGTAATGTAATCCTCTTGAGGGATTCAGTCTCTTTTTGTCTTGTCACTCACAGCGTATGATGGTAAAATGCCGGGTCGTCCCAGTGTTCCTCAGGAAAATGCTTCTCCAGGCCATTATTCTTTCAAACTGCAGCCGGAGCAGCCTTCCATCACACGCGTGAGTATTTTTATTTTATTTTATTTTATTTTATTTTATTTTATTTTATTTTATTTTATTTTATTTTATTTTTAATTTAATTTAATTTAATTTAATTTAATTTAATTTAATTTAATTTAATTTAATTTAATTTAATTTATTTTATTTTAAAAACTTTCACCCGTTATTTTATTTTATATTATTTTCTTTTCTTTTCTTTTTTTAATTTTCTTTATTTAAATTTTATTTAGACATTTTATTTTATTTTACCTGTTGTTTTATTTATTTTAATAAATGTTTTAAATTACATTTTATTTTATTTTTCTAAATAAATTTTTTATTACATTAAATTTTTATTTTACCCATTTGATTTTATTGCATTGCATTTTATTACATTTAATTTTATTTTATAAAATTTTATTTATTTAAAAGATTTTTTTTTACATTTTATTTTATTTTTCAAATTATTTTATTTTATTAAATTACATTTTATTTTGACATTTTATTACAATAATTATTTTAATTACACTACATTTTATTTTATTAAATTACATTTTTTATTTTATAAAACTTTATTTTTACCCGTTATTTTATTTTTTTTTATTTTATTAGATTTTTTTTTTTTATAAAAATATATTTTTATTTTATTAAAACATTTTTTGTTTTATTGCATTTTATTTTACCTGTTATTTTTATTTTATTTATCAGGGGTCGCCACAGTGGAATAAACCGCCAACTTAATCAGCATATGTTTTACACAGTGGATGCCCTTTATTGCTTGATAAATTATAAGTTTATTATTAAGTTAATTTAATTTAAGTAGTGATATGTGCTAGCAAAAATAGTTTTAACATTGAAATATTTAGCTTTTTTATTCAAGAATAATATAAATAATAATAGGATTGATTCAACAATCCAAAGGTTTTCTCATTAATCAACAGTACAATGCATGGCATGTTTCATAGTTATTTATAGATATTTCAGAAATGTTCCCTTTTGATTATAATTCATCACATTTATTAAACTGCAAAGACTTTTTACACTTAGTCGAAGTAAATAATTATTAGCATTTATTAGAGTTTTTTTTTTCTATAAGTTGTTTAATTAAAATTTCCTATAATATTTTTTTCTTTTTGGGAAACTCTTCATTTAAATTAATTTCGCTGGAATAAAAGCAAAGTTTTTATGCCAATATTATCAGCCTATTATTTTTGTTTGGACTGTTGATTTCTCTCCTTCAGGTTGCATCAGTGGAACGGCTGGTGGAGCGAGTGGAGGTGGATTACTCAGACGACCCCTGGAGGATCACAGAGGAACAGCGGGAATATTACACTAACCAGTTCAGGAGTCTCCAGCCCGACCTCAATGCTCTCATCATGGGTAAGAGACATCAACACTGCTGCACCCAACAACACCATCTGTGAATGGATGGATGGATGACTGGATAGTTGAAAAGATTTCTTGGATTGAGGGATAGATTGGAAGTAAATATGGAGAGATAGAGTTCATGAATAGGATGGATGGATGGATGGATAGATAGAAAGATGGATGGATGGATGGATGGATGGATGGATGGATAGATGGATGGATGGATGGATGGATAGATGAATGGATGGATGAATGGATGGATAGTTGAATTGATATATTGGATTGAGGGATAGATTGTATGATTGAATGGATGAATTTGATGAATAGTACAAATAGATTGATGGATTAAAAGTTAGATGGGTAGGAAGATGGATGGGTAAAATGGTAATAGAAGAATGGATGGATGGATGGATGGATAGTTGAATAGATATAATGGAATGAGGGATCGATTGGATGGCTGAATGGTTGGATGGATGGATGGATTTGATGAATAGGATGAATGGATTAAAAGATGGATGGGTAGGAAGATGGATGGGTAGAAAGATGGATGGTTAAAATTTTAATAGAAGAATGGATGGATGGAGATTGGATTGAGGGATAGATTGGATGGCTGAATGGTTAGATGGATGGATTGAATGAATAGGACGAATGGATCAATGAATTAAAAGATAAATGGGTAGGAAGATGGATGGGTAAATATATTAATAGATGGATGGATGGATAGTTGAATACATATATTTAATTGAGGGATAGATTGGAAGTAAGGATGGATGGATGGATTTGATGAGTTTGATAAATGGGTCGATGGATTAAAATATGAATGGATAGAAAGAATGGATGGATGAATTGATAGAAAGTATGGATGGATGGATGGACGGATGGATAGATGGATGGACAGATAGATGGATGGATGGATTGGATAGTTGAATAGATATATTGGATTGAGAGATAGATTGGAAGTATGAATGGACGGATGGATGGATTTAATGAATAGGATGAATGGGTCGATGGAATAAAAGATGGATGGACGGACGGATGGATGGATGGATGGATAAATTGATGGGATAGTTAAATAGATATATTGGATTGAGAGATAGATTGGATGGATGGATGGATGGATGGATGGATGGATGGATGGATGGATGGATGGATGGATGGATGGATGGATGGATTTGATGAACAGGATGAATGGGTTGATGGATTAAAGGATGGATGGGTTGGAAGAAAGATGGTTGGATGTACAGAATGGTAGAAATAATGATAGACAGATGGATGAAATTATAGAGTTAAAATAGATTAATTAAATAGTTGGATGGACAAAAAGAAGAGTGGAAGGATGAGTTGATAGATGGATAAAATTATAGATGCATGAATGGATGGATGGATGGATTTGATTAATAAGATAGATGGATATAAAGATGGATGGGCAGGGAGATGGGTGGTTAAATATATTATCACTGGCTAAATCAATAAATGAATGAATGAATGAATGAATGAATGAATGAATGAATGAATGAATGAATGAATGAATGAATGAATGAATGAATGAATGAATGAAAATATGTACAGATGGAGGTTTGATGAATAGATGGGTAGGAAGATGGATGGTATGAATGAACAGAATGGATGAATGAACAGAGGGGTAGACATAATGAAAGAGAGATAGATAAACTTATGAATTTGAAACATGAATGAATGATGGGTACTTTGGATGTATGGGTGGATGGACAAACGAAAGGGTGGAAGGATGAGTTGACAATGTTTAATAAAATTATGAATGGATGTTTGGTTGCTTGGATGAATGAAGAGATTTGATGAATTAGATGAATGGGTGGACGGATTAAACGATGGATGGGAAAAAAGGTGGATGGTAAAATATATTAATAGAATAAGGGATGGATGACTGAATGAATGAACACACAAATAAACAGACGGACAGACATAACAATGGACAGATGGATAAAATTGTGGATTTAATATAGATGAATGGAATAATGGAGACATTGGATGCATGTGCGGATGGACAAGTAGAAGGATGGAGTGGATAGAAGGTTTAATGTGGATGGATGGATTAAATGATGGATGGGTAGAAAGATCATTGGTTAATTATATTAATAGAATAAGTCATGGATCGATGGATGAATGAATAAATTAGCTAACGGATGGATGGATGGATGGATGGATGGATGGATGGATGGATGGATGGATGGATAGATGGATGGATAGAGAGAGGGATGGCAAGACTTAAGGGTAGACATAATGTTAGACATGGATTCAATTATAAAAAGGAAATGGAATGGAATGATGGATACTGTACATTGGATGTATGTGTGGATGGACGAATAGAACGCTAAAAGGATGAGTGGATAGAAGGTTTAATAAAATGATGGATGTGTGTATGGATGGATGGTTAGAAACAATATATGGATAGAGTACTGAAAGGATGTTCAAATTTGATTGGTTCGTGGACAGGTTGGGAGGGTGGATGGACTGACAGCATGGACTGATTGGATTGGATTGGTGGGTGAGTGGATGGATGGATGGATGGATTGGTTTGCTGGGTTGGTGTATAGACAGATTTGGTTGATGATCGATGAGCAATGTATGGATGAGCGAATCAATGTATGGATGTTGGAAGCAAAAATATATTTATGGATAGGTGAATAGATGAATAAAATGATGAAGGAGTGGAAGGACAGATAAAATGATTGATACAGAGACAGATAGAAAAATGGATGGATGGATGGATGGATGGATGGAGAGATCTGTAAATAGAAAGATTGATGGACTGGAGAAATATAAATGGATGGACTGATTTACAGAAGGATAACAATGGTTAGCTGGAAGAACAGTGGATAGATTAGAAAGAGGGATAGATGGATGGATGGATGGAAGGGTGCACCAAATTCTAAATTGAGAACAATGGACAGAATCATGGATGTTAGTTAGATAGAAATAATGATGGATGGCTGGGCGGATGGGTGGATATATTGACGGAGAGAGAGATTTGATGAATGTGTGGATGGATTGCAAATAGATAGAAAAGATAGTTGTACAGAAAAATTGGTGTGAGATAATTGAATAAAATGATATATGGACTGTATGGATGGATAGAAAGCTGGATGAACGAATTGACTGAAGGATAGAAAGATGGATGGAATGATGGATGGAAAGGACAGTTGGATAAATGTAAGTGTCATTCTTAAGTTTAATCATACCTTCCTCATATCATTCTGTGGGAGTTATGATTTAATTCAATTCAATTCAGCTTTATTTGTATAGCGCTTTTACAATGTAGATTGTGTCAAAGCAGCTTCACATAAATGGTCATAGTAACTGGAACAGTGTAGTTCAGTTTTTAGTGTTTAAGTTCAGTTCAGTTCAGTTTAGCTCAGTTCAGTGTGATTTAATCATTACTGAGAGTTCAAACACTGAAGAGCAAATTCATCGATGCGTAGCTCTACCAATCCTGAACCATGCGAGCCAGTGGCGACAGCGGAGAGGGAAAAAAAAACTTCACCTGATGGGAGTGAAGAAAAAAAACCTTGAGAGAACCAGACTCAGTTGGGCACGACCATTTTAATTTCTCCGCTGGCCAAAAGTCTTGTGCAGAGCTTCAGTCACCGCGGTGGAGGTGTTACTGTTAATGTTGACAGTTTCATTTTTTTAATTGGCTTTTTTTTTCTTGCAGGAGCTGTTGCAAAAAACTTCTTCACCAAGTCCAAGCTTCCGATTCCAGAGTTATCTCATATATGGTGAGTATAAAGCCCAAGTTCTGCTTACATACACCAGCTATGTTTCCATTTGAATATGCAAATTAAACGTGTGCACAAAACTGAAATAATGCATAAAACATTTGCAAATAAAGCAGCTTTTCTATGTAATGAGTCAAAGAGAACAAAATCGTCACTGTTTGTTAAACTGACACAAAAATCAAAAAGAAAAATGTAATTTGCAGTGTTAGGAGAAGCCACTGTTTGCCTTCTTTCTTCTGCAATAAATGAGTTGCATCTCTGAAGATGACGCTTAATAAACGCAATGCGGTGGCTTTTGGAGGCATGAGATGCTCTGTGGGAGTGCAGACAGATGCTCAAGACAGTTCTGGGGGTAATAATAATATAATAATGATAATACTGAACCACTGTGGTCACAGACTTTGGGCTCTATTTTGACAATCCATGCGCAAAGTCCAAAGCGCAGGGCACAAAAGCATTCAGGGCGTGTCAGAATCCACTTTTGCTGTTTTAAGGATGGAAAAATCCGTCTTGCGCTGTGGCACATGGTCAAATAGGGTTGAGCGTATTCTTTTAATGAGTTATAGGTGTGTTTTGAGAATAAACCAATCAGAGTCTCATCTCCCATTCCCTTTAAGAGTCAGTTGCACCGCGCCATAGTGCATTTGCTATTTACATGGCAGACTTTGTAAGTGGAAAAACTGAACACTTTACTGGTGAGAAAACAGTTAAACAGAGCATCTACAGGAGAGAACGAGAGAATTTCTAAATTCAGTTCTAATTTCCAGCAAACGAATAAATGAACAGTAATAGTTAAGTGTGGTCAAAAAACTGAGTTATATCCAAATACACATGCTGACAGGTGGACAAATCTAAGCTTAATTTTAATAAAACAAATATAAATATGCATTTAATAAATAATACTACAACTAATAATAACATTATACAAAAGCAAATTGTCATGAATAAACTGAAAAAGCCTTCCGAGATGAAGAAAGCATGAAGGCAGTGTTTTTTATATTTATGTAGGCTAGAAAATTGTATTTTTTGTAATATTTTAATTACTTTTTTATATTACGATATTTACAGCTTTGAGCTGGTCTATTGAACCGTCTATTTAAGTTCCTCAAAATAGCAACGCACCAGCAATGCGCCTTAACACACCTCCTTTTTCAGATCAGAACTCCTATGGGTGCACATATGAGCGCAAATGCATTTGCTATTTAAACAGCATGGCATGTCATAATGACTCCTGTGCCGAGCTAAAACTAGCAAACAACAATTGCGTCGCACCTTGCACCGGGTGTATGATAGGGCCCTTTGTCTGAGGCGTTTTAAAAGGAGCAAAACAACATTTCACATGAGATGAAATGAGCTTGAAATGCTGGTTTATCCATTAATGTCATCCCATCACACTCATTTTTATCATCTTTTATGATCTGTTAAAACTAAATCACATGACTTTTTTGATTCCTGACATGTGCTATAGGTGAATTGGGTAAGCTAAATTGATCGTAGTGTATGTGGGTGAAGGAATTAGTGTATGGATTTTTCCCAGTACTAGGTTGCAGCTGGAAGGGGATCCGATGCGTAAAACATATGCTGGATAAGTTTGCAGTTTATTTCACTGTGGCGACCTCTAATTAACAAAGGGATTAAGCCGGAAAGAAAATTAATGAATGAATAAATCGAAATTAACCTAGTTACTTTAACCAACCCAGGCTCATTCTGGAAGTGTAGCCCTGCCGACCCCGGCGAACTGTTTTAGGGAATCCGCGAGAGTCCGCTGTGTGTGCTTTTTCGCCTCTCGCTGTTCTCATGTAAAAAGCCAGCGGAAGCCACTGTCGAGCAACCGTCTGTCCAACTGACTTACTGACTGACTGACTGAATGACTGAACGATTGACTGGGCAGACCAGAAAAAGAAAAGCCCTCGTCTGATTTTGACCACGTTTTCGGATTTTCCTCCGGGCCTCCACTCCACTGACGTAACACGATGAGCTAACCGGACAAACTGGTTGCGGCGGGAAAGCCTTGTAGCGTTCGCTTGAAAAAACTAAATGCAGCCATACATACCTCCGGCCATGTAAATCGCGGTCTCCAGAAACGTCCACGGGGCTACGTTTTCAGAATGAGCTTGGGTTGACTTTCATAAAAAACTGTCATATAAAAAAAATTACGTTTCAAAACCGCCCAAATTTTGTCAATTTTTAACCCGCACAATCAAATTCAAAACCGCTCAATTGGGCAGGAAACCACCCAATCTGACAACACCGTCTTGGTGTTACCATTAAGCATTTTCTACAATACACATAACAAGAGGTGGATGTAATGATAGCTATCTCCTAACAATATCTCCATTTCATTGGATGTTTTTCAGGGAGCTGAGCGACGTTGACAAAGACGGCGCTCTCACTTTCCCAGAGTTCTGCACTGCCTTCCATCTCATCGTGGCACGGAAAAATGGCTACCTTCTTCCTGAAACTCTTCCCGCTTCACTGAGACCAGGCTTTCAGGAACCGGTGGTTACAGCAGCACCATCTGAGGTTGAACATTTTGAACTCTATGCAGACATCTTATTGGACATCTAGACCTATTATGCATTATACAAGATGCAAAAATAAATATCTGATGTGCTTAGAGGGTGTATGTGAAGTTTTAGCTCAAAATACCCCACAAATAATGTTGTATAACACTTTGAAACTGACGCTTTTAGGCTTTGATCAATATTGGCTTGTTTTGGTGATTGTCGCTTTAAATTCAAATGAGATTGAGTTCTTTTTAAAAGAGGGCGGAGCTACAAATGCCTGTGCGTCAGCATAGTGGCAGATTCAAAGCAGGACTAATGTTATCTCTGTGAAAAACTACAATGAATTTGTGCATCCAAAAACTCCATGTTTATATAGTCACTGACATCATCTTCAGCAGGTACACTGTGAAAACTCTAATGGCAGAGGGCTGCTTCTCACTCAGGGCTGTCTATATCACTTTTGAGTTTGAGGAAAGGACGAGGACACAATTGCAGAACTTAAATGGGGTGTTTAGTAATTATAAAAATCAAGCAAAAAGGCAACAAAAACAACCCCAAGGGGGAAAACATTAACAAATAAATAAACAAACTTAACTGGGCAGGCTGGCTGGGATCAGGGCTGGAACAAGACTAGACAAGGCAGGATGAATAAACGGCGTATGACAAACTGACACAGGACAGCAGACATGAGGAGACTATAAATGGGAGCAAATTAAGAAACAACTGGGGCCTCATGTATCAACGCTGCGTACGCACAAAAACTTTGCGTACGCCAGGTTTCACGCTCAGAATCGCTCACGTTTGGATTTACTAACGATGAACTGAACGTGGGAATGTGCGCAGCTCCACGCCAGCTTCATGGCTGGCGTACGCACATTTTTTGTGCGTGTCTGTTTTATTTCCATTGGCGACTCCTAGAGGCAGTTGTGTTAAATTGCACTCTACAAAGTGTCTGAGCCTTGCAATGGCAGCTGTATGAGACGGGTTCATCTAGCAGGTATATAAGGTTTCCATACCATACAGTTGACCAGCTAAACATTAAAGCGCAATTTGCAGCGGTCGGCTGTTTTCCCAATGTAATGGGAGGGATCTACTGCACGCACACTGCTATAAAGGCACCGTCTAAAGATGAATTTGCATGCGTGAATCAGAAACATTTCCATTCAATAAATGTGCAAATAAGATATGATGCACAGACTTATTAATGATTCCTACTTGTCTTTCTCGTGATAAATAGTGGGCAAAATCTGATATGTAGCGGGGGGAAAAAGAAGAAAGAGTTCATCAGACGCTGGATTCGAATCGAGTTCATGCTCGAACGTGTCAAAACATGTTCACATACGTCTTACGAGCGCGCCACTGAAACTCTTAAGAGTGTTGTAACATTTTACAGATATAAACCACATTATTTCCTTTTTAATTCACTCTGCGATGTTCAGACCCAACTGTGTTAACCCCATCAGCTAAACTCTCCCACTAAATTTTTTTCTTTTGTTGTTAATTCCGGAGAACAAACTTGCAAATAACACCGTTATCGGTCTATCTCCGAAAGCAGCACCTCCAATTCACATTCTGTTCAAAGTTTCTCTTTTTGCTTGCTTTTGCCGTTGCTTTTTCGTTGGGTTTTGCCAAAGTATAGTCATTAGCATATTCATACGGGGGAGGAGGCAGGGAGGGGTTTTGCGCTCGTGCATGTTGCGCTCTGTTTCACGTTCATTCAGATGTACAAAAGAATATGCGTGGGATTCGGCGTACGCAGTGTTTCATACATCTGAATTTTTTTCTGCGTGCGCACATTTACAGCTTTGTGCGTACACAATGTTTTAGTATGATTTCCACGCAAGTCTTCGTACATGAGGCCCCTGGTGAACAGAATTAACTAATAATTGGATTAAAAGGGTGGGACTAAGCGACAACCTCCCGCTCTCCCTCGTGAAACAAATACTGAAGTAACTGAAACTGCAATTCATTGAAATTCCGCTAGTCCTGGCTTCATATGGAGCACATTTCTATTGAGCCCACTATTAAAATGGCCGACTTTACAGCAGAATAAAAGGAGTTTACAGCCTGGTTTTGTTTTTATTAAGTTATATTAAGTCTGCATAGTTAAAGGCGTGGCCACTTGAGTGACAGCCAGGCCGTCACTTCACCTTAGCTGATTCCGGCTGATTAACCGCTGAACTCGGCATATATATCATATTTTTGTTTTGTTTTATGTGGCTTTACACAGTCAGTTGCTTTTTGGGTTTATTTCTTATAATTATCCGATGATATGGCATGCTGTGTGCACTTGATTGTGTACTTAATTTACCTATGAATTCCATTCATACTGCTCACATGTATACCGCATACAATGTACTTTTTTAACAGCCGAATAGTACGTTTAAATTCAAATACAGTACCTACTAAATAGTAGGCGAGTTCGGACACAGCCTAAGACAGGTTATGAGTGCTCGGCTCGAGTTTTCACAATATACAAGACAAGAGAGCACAGGACTAGTGGCCTGGCCTCCAAAACAAGACTGTCAGGATTCTGTCACTATGCTAATGAGGGAGAGACAGTCTCCAGTGGCTTTGCCTGTCTGATGACATGTACAAAGGGGGAATGTCAATCAAAGTGTTTCTGCAGACTGTTTTTATCAACTGTGATTTAATCAATTAAAATAATGAATTTCTACCATTTAAAGCTGGACATATTCATGCACTGTTGCCGCACTACTGTGCTGAAACCCCATTTAAGAGTGATTTTTTTGCATAATAGGTCCCCTTTAAACTGCCCTGTGTTTTTCATCCTGTATATTTTTTTATGAAGCAATCAGTAGAAAGTTCTGACAGGTTTGGACAGAGCTTTATATGTGAGTATTGTTTTACAGGCGACTCAACCTCTCATCGTCTTTGATGATAATATGATGCCTGGAGCAAATCAGCTGGTGAGAAAACATTCATGCAACATTTACGCCAAGATCTTAGTGTTCAGTACATTTCATTCTGTCTCTTTTCTGTCTCTTTCTTTCAATATTTTACAAATATTAAAATGCTCTTTTGGCATGGTGATCTGCTCACAATAATGGCAATGCAGCAAAAACAATTTTAATAGCAGATGTTTTCGTAGTCAGCTGTTGTTTCTAATTATACATTAAAAAAAAAAATACACTCACTGGCCACTTTATTAGGTACACCTTACTGGTACCAGCTTCGACCCCCTATTGCCTTCAGAACTGCCTTAATCCATTGTGGCATAGATTCAACAAGGTACTGGAAATATTCCTCAGAGATTTTGGTCCATATTAACATGATGGCATCATGCAGTTGCTGCAGATTTGTCTGCTGCACATCCATGATGTGAATCTCACGTTCCACCACATCCCAAAGGTGCTCTATTGGATTGAGATATGGTGACTGTGGAGGCCATTTGAGTACAGTGAACACATTGTCATGTTCAAGAAACTTGAGATGACTCATGCTTTATGACATGACACGTTATCCTGCTGGAAGTAGCCATCAGAAGATGTGTACACTATGGTCATAAAGGGATGGACATGGTCAGAAACAATAATCAGGTAGGCTGTAGCGTTGATACGACGCTCAGTTGGTACTAATGGGCCCAAAGTGTGACAAGAAAGTATCCACCACACCATTAAACCATGGATGAAACCATGCTGACATGTTGTTGAAGCCAAATTCTGACCCTACCATCCAAATGTCGCAGCAGAAATGGAGACTCATCAGACCAGACAACATTTTTCCAATCTTCTATTGTCCAATTTTGTTGAGCCTGCGTGAATTGTAGCCTCAGTTTCCTGTCATTGGCTGACAGGAGTGACACCCGTTGTGGTCTTCTGCAACAAGGTTGGACGTGTTCAGAGATGCTCTTCTGCAGACCTCGGCTGAATGAGTGGTTATTTGCGTTACTGTTGCCTTTCAATCACCTGGAATCAGTCTGGCCATTCTCCTTTGACCTCTGTCATCAACAAGGCATTTGCGCCCACAGAACCTCCACTTACTGAATATTTTCTCTTTTTCGGACCATTCTCTGTAGAGATAGTTGTTTAAGAAAATCCCAGTAGATCAGCAGTTTCTAAAATACTCAGACCAGCTAGTCTGGCACCAACAACCATGCCACGTTCAATCACCTTTCTTCCCCATTCGAATGCTTGGTTTGAACTGCAGCAGATTGTCTTGACCATGTCTTCATATATAAATGCATTGAGTTGCTGCAATGTGATTGTCTGATTAGAAATTTGCGTTAACGAGCAATTGGACAACTGTACCTAATAAAGTGGCCAGTGAGTGTATAAGAGTATCATAAATCACATATTTTATAAAATAATATTCAGATAATCTTAAACACAATTTGCACAGTTTTATAGTGTATTTCTCAGTGTGTTGAATTAGCCTTTAAGTATATATATATATATATATATATATATATAGTTTTTTGTGCCTAATTAACATTTTTATGATCTTATTAATTACCCTTACATTAATTATTAATATCAAGATGTTTTTAAAGATTAAATTTATGCATTATTAAATATCAGCTAAACCTCAGATAATAAAAACTATGTTTAGTGGTTATTTTTAGTTTACAATGGTTTATTCTGTTAATGTCTTTGTTATTCCCTTTTAGCTGATATATAAAGCAATTTGCATCAGTTAAAGAGAAAACAAAGACAGATATTCTGAGCAAATGAAAAAACAAAGCTCTCTCATTTTTGAGCTGAAGGCAGATGGTGCTAATGAGTCTCATATGAGATATAATCTCCATAAGCCAAAAAAATAATCCAACTCATCCAGCATACAACAGAGTAAAACCTCTACATGAGCTCACATCAGTCATTTGTTGCTGGCTTTTTCATTTTCCCAAACAGGAAATGGGCTCAGTTGACCTGCAGGTGACCTCTAGACCTGGTGTGACCACTAAACAGGACACCAGAGATGAAAGCAGGAAACCGGGTAATGTCAGACCTCAATGAAAATATTATCATAATATATCACGAATTAGCTTAATAGTCTCACTTTAAACGTTTAAATGTCATTACATTAGCTACTAATAATCTGAGTGAGTTAAAATGGTCAGGAGCTGCCTTTTTTGCTTGGACTATTCTCTGAAGTCCACTTATAATATTGTTAAGATATATTTGTATATTCACTACCTGACAAAAGTCTTGTCGTCGAGCCCTGTTGTAAGAGCAACAAATAATAACTTGACCTCTAGTTAATCATTTGGAAAAGTGGCAGAAGGTCGATTTTTCATAACAATTTGCTTTTGTATAATGTTATTATTATTAGCAGTATTATTTATTATATCCATATTTATGTTTGTTTTATTATAAACAAGCTTAGATTTGTCCACCTGTCAGGTTTTAGACCATATGGGGCACAGCATGTGTATTTGGATATAACTCAGGTTTTTGAGCACACTTCATTATTATTGTTCATTTATTCGTTGGCTGGAAATTAGAACTGAATTTAGAAATAGTTTTAAAAACGAATATTTGCGCATAACTACGCAAATAATTATTTATAGACTAATTGATGTCTGTGCGTAAAGGTTTCCCTATCCAAGAGCGAAAGTGAAAGTAGATCATTTATCTCTCATTCTCATGCAGTAGATGCTCTGTTTAACAGTTTTCTGTTAAAAAAAAAACTGTTAACTGTTTGCTAGTGAATTGCTCAGTTTTTCCACTTAGACTTACTTTACGTCCTGTAAATAGCGAATGCGATCTTGGCGCAACGTAGCTGACTCTTAAAGGGAATGGGAGATGAGACTCTAATTGGTTTATTCTCAAAACACACCTATAACTCATTAAGAAAATAAACTCAACCCTTTTAGACCATGCGCCATGGCACAAAGCAGATTTTCCCGTCCGTAAATTAGCAAAAATGTGTTCTGACACGCCCTGAAAGCGTTTGAGCCCTGTGCTTTGCGCTCTGCGCATGAACCGTCAAAATAGAGCCCTAAACCTGGTTGCAACTAGCAGTAATGACTAATAGTAATGTAGCAGTGTGAAATTAATCAATCATTTTATTAAATATTTCATTCAGTGTATGTTCGTCTTGTCATCTTTTGAGCATCTTTATCATTTTTATCATAAACTCATTGACTTTTCTCTGTAGACGTTCTTGTTTCTCAGCTCTTACAGTCAGTTTTTTATTGCTGTGTCAGCAGAGATCAGCCCAAAGAGAGTTCCAGAGCCGCATGAAAAGCCAATGCAGCGAGTCAGCGCTTTAAAACCAGGTGACTTTCTGTCCTCAGACACCACACTGAACACTGACGCTCATTTACATCTGCTCTACTCTTACTTAATACCATAAAAGTCACACAGAAACTAATATTTTCTCATTCATTGCTTCTTCTGCTGAACTCTAAAGAAGATATCTTGAAGAATGTTGGAAACCGGTTTCCATTGACATCCATTGTGGGAGAAAAATACTGTAGAAGTCAATAGCGAAAGGTTTTCAACATTCTTCAGCGTATCTTCTTTTATAAAAATAGTTGTTATGGAGGAATAAAGCAGAGAATTTTAATTGTCAACACATTGTCTAATTTATTATATTATATTATATTATATTATATTATATTATATTATATTATATTATATTATATTATATTTTAAGTACATTATATTATACCTTATTATAATTAATATATTTTATAATATGTAAATTTTATTATATTTTAGTTTATTATATGTAAATTATATATTTTTTAAAATTATATTATATTATATCTCATTATGTTTATTATATTTTATTATATGTAAGTTTTATTATATAAT